TAACTGTATGATAAATGGTTCGAGAGTGCTACACTTGCGCGCGCGCGCGCGCGCACACACACAGACGAAGATCCCCCGTATAGCCTCAACAAACATTTGGGGCAAGTGCTGTTAGAGAGCGCCCAAATGAAGGCTGCCACGGCACGCGAAGCGGGGAGTAGCCAACACCACTCCAGACCCTGTTTGCCTCCCGAGTGGAGATGTTTACACAACTCACGAGGTGCAGCAATAACCCGATTTACATCTCTTCTTTTATTGTCGTTTCGCAAATACGCCGTCACTATATTAATACCACTAACCGATTTGGGTCTCCTCAACCCACACTTCCGTCGCTGACAGCATCATCCGCCTTTTCTCGTATCCGTCGCCTCTCAGCCTTCGCCTCCACTTGCCCTGTAAATTGCTTTGAATTACGTCGTTTCGATATTCATCGTCCCACCTTCAGGAATTCATCACGACGTGCGCCGGGGTATTACCATACTCGTTTGTCTTCTTGGTTCTTTCGGTAAAGTCACATAGAAGGGAAATAATAAAATAATAAAAATAAAACATAATAAAATATTTTTTACGACGTTTCGGCCACAACGCAAGCAGCCGTCCTGCTTGCGTTGTGGCCGAAACGTCGTGAGAATTATTTTATTATGTTTTATTTTTATTATTTTATTATTTCCCTTCTACGTGACTTTACCGAAAGAACCAAGAAGATGAATCCCTGCAGTCACGAAAGCTTTAAATCGGAATTCATACTCGTTTGATTCGACATACGGGAGGTCGAGAACTTGGTGTTGGCCGTGAGCTGGAATCGAACTCGTGTCGCCGGTTTCGGAGTGCATCGCGCGAACCACTGCGCCACCGCTCGCGCACACGAGCAGTGAAACCTGATGATTAAAATGACTCCACGAGGACTACGAATAATGAATGGGCCTGACTGCAGTCTGGAGTTATGATTTGGAGTGGGGGCAAGCCAGCGATGTCTGTGTCGTCGAGTTTTGTAACCTTGTACTGTGGCTGGGGGTCGTTGTGGGTTCTGCTTGTACTTGCCCGCAGGAAATTATCAGCTACAGACAACCCCCCCACTGTGCGGTCCGCGCCGGCCTTATTGTAAATAAGGGGGAAACGGAAGAAGCTTCTTATTTAGGAGTTCACGTTTACTTATGATGCAGTGGATAACATCCCAGTGACCTGCCCTGGGTTCAATTCCGAGCCATGATAAATAATCAAATATATCCTACTCTAAAACATATCTATCTTGGGGAAAAAAAGTGTTGCTAGAGGGATGGACGGGTCGGTCAGTCGGTCGGTCACGTCCAAAGGATGTGCACGTTGTTCATGTATTTTTATAGTCCTCGGTTAATCCACTGTTGGATGAAAGCCTCCCAACACTGTGTGTCGGTCAAGGAGTTTGTGTGACAATAGTCACTCACCACGTTGGGCAGCGCGGTTGGTTGGAAAAAATATACCGGAGTCAAAACGTGTATCAGAACTGACCCTTCTCATTGCCTAGGGTTGACTCAACCAAATAATGGTTGAGTGTGGTCAATTTTGGTGCTGGCAAGACGAATGTGGCTGGGTGAATGTGATGCTGGCAATGCAGCCCCCCCCCCCCACCCTCTTGTGCCATGCTTTTAAAGCACTTTCTATAAATATACATGGGAGATCTTTGTGTGCTCGTTTCAAACATAAATGTTTTAAAAGCACTGAATATAGCACACAAACCACCTCGCCCATTTGTTTTACCGTTACAATGTAAAAAAAAATCGTCTACACAAAAGCAAACTGTCAATCCCTTAAAGAATTTCGGAATGTCAAGAGCCACCTGTGGCTGTATTGTCCTGGAACCCAAATCTCCGCGCCCTTAGGCTAAACTAACGTGGACGCCCTTGCCACTTGTGGGAGAGTGCAGTGCTCTGCGTCGAGTTCAGGGCACATGCGCCTGTTTGAACTGTGAGGAAGCATTAGCCTATGACTCCACCTATGCATTGTTGCCTGGGCAGCCTTGAGGGTATGTGATCCATTATGTTTTGGGTTGTAGTTTTACGCGAGAATTCTTGTCATTATGTATGCATGTTGAGCATCTTTCACACCATGTGTTCTCATCCACCCGACAATATTGTCACATTTACAAATATGTTATTTACACGGGCCAAATTATTGACATTATGAACAATAAAACTCCTTACTCGCGGTTTAAGACTTTTGATATCTAAATATAGCATTTGTCATGGGACAATTTCTCCATTTAAATAATAAGACCCAGTAAATAATTGTCAGCCCTTCGTCAGTCCACTTTTGTACAAAGTCCTCCCCACCCCATCTCCGTCATGGGTCGGCAACCTGCGGCTTCGGGGCGGCACGCCGCTCTTTAAGGGCCACTTTGTGACATTACATATTAAGGACCGCTGTCATGTGCATTGCGGCTCTTAAATGAAATATTGAGTTAAAAAAAAAATTTGAGAAAAATATGGTGCTTTCGATTTAAAGCTTTCGTGACTGCAGGGATTCATCTTCTTGGTTCTTTCGGTAAAGTCACGTAGAAGGGAAATAATAAAATATTAAAAATAAAACATAATAAAATAATTCTCACGACGTTTCGGCCACAACGCAAGCAGCCATCCTCAGGTGAAGAACAGGTCTTTCGGATAGACAGCGTCTGAATGAACACCACCAGGCTTGGAAGTGCAACCCAGCTTAAATATACGCTTCCAAGCTTGGTGGTGTTCATTCAGACGCTGTCTTTCCGACAGACCTGTTCTTCACCTGAGGACGGCTGCTTGCGTTGTGGCCGAAACGTCGTGAGAATTATTTTATTATGTTTTATTTTTATTATTTTATTATTTCCCTTCTACGTGACTTTACCGAAAGAACTAAGAAGAAAAATGGTGCTGTCATTTTGTTTGTCAACCCCTGGTCGTTGGGGGTTGGTTGACCATTCTTCGTCATGCTGGTCGGTGTGGGTTGGTGAAGGAGGGGCCAGAACGTCACTATTTTTTAAATCCTTTATATTAAGTTCACTTGCTTGCTTGCTTGCGCGCTTACGACCGTGCAAATCTTTCGGTCGTTTTTAACCCACTTCCCATGATCCAATCGCGCTGACATTTTCCACACAGACTCGTTGTGCGTGACAATTAATTTTCGTGAATTTTTTTCAAAAATGTTACACTGTTTAGGGAAATTTTTTAAATATTTAATTACCAATTGCTTAATGGTGGCAGGCGATCATCTGACCCATAGGTGGCAGTCATCTCAAGCCAGAGGACGAGAGGACTCTAGCCGCCACGCATTTAAAGGATTTATAGTGAAAAACTTTGTTTTAACAGGTTAATTTTTTCACACTCAGAATCTCATTGATGGTAGGTATCTGGTCGAGAAACCTTAATCTTTATGATTACTTCAGGAGTATCATCCCGTATGCTAGTCGGTACTGAGGGAACTCGTTCCTCTGCGGCAGCACACAACCCAGACATTCGCTATTATTTGTAAATGTTTTCACATGCCACTCCCCTTTGGGTGGAGTGGGCAGTAACCCTGCAATCCCCACAAGTAGCTTCCTGTCCATCCCCGTCAGTTCACATGAGTATTTTTCTGTCCTCAATAATCTTTGTGAACAATGACACACGTGTGATGAGAGGCAAATACGTCTCTAATTCTTCGTCAGAATTGTACCCTTTTTTTCAATAAAATGAGGCCTAATTCCACAATTGAGGTATTACCTTTATGTGACATCGTGTAAGTAAATAGGTCTGCCAATTGTTTCAACAACTGGTCCTGCTTTTTTATGATGTTGACTATTAAACCATCAGCCAAGAGATTTCCCTTTTTTATGCTGTGATGGGCAGTGTTTTCTTCTTCACATGTGACATGAAATTTCCTACTGCTCACATGAAACGTAGTTCGATTGCTGAGATATATAATTGAAATTCTGAAACAGATTGAAATAGAAAAAATAATATTCAAATACCATAAATTCTGGCCTTTGTAGAATATGAAAAGGCATTGTAATGGGTGGAAATTGATGCAGCCATTCAAGTTCTCATAAACCAGTTTAAATAAATAAATTAATATGCCCAAATTATTACAAAAAAACTTAGGAGATTGGAAATCGCTACACTGAAATTGTGTGGCGAAAATGACAAGATGCTTATCAGAGGGCAAGTCAGGCGAGAAGGAGGAGACATGCTATCACCAACATAATTTGCAGCGACATTAGAATGTTTTCTGAAAATTGGATTGGATAAATAAAGTCGTGAACATAAATGGAGAAAATATTAACCATCACATATTTGCTGCTGGGCATAGTTATTGGAACATCCAATCAAAATGAACTAAAGGAAATTATTGAATAGATGCATACAGCACTCTCATTAATTCTAACTGCATTTCATGCATAATCTTGCCCTGTGCAGATGAGGGTGGTGGGAATATGAGTCCGAGAGATACAAAGACATGGGTAGATACACCGAATGAAAGACACTAACAAAGACGGATACGGAGTGAGTGCGACCGATACAGAGAGACACGGAGAGACTAACCCACTTGAGACAGAAGCAGACTTAGAGAAAGCGGTGGGCACAGATGGAGTGAGAGATGGCAAAACACACAGACACAAATAGGGAAAAAGCGGTGGATAGAAACCGATCATTTTTTGGGACCCATAAAGGATCGGAGGCACCTGGCACATGCACAGATTACACATGCATAAAGAGACTACTGTCTGCACCCGTCCGGTTATAAACCTATGCAGTTTGAGTTGAGAGCTTTGGCAATCCGATTATGCGACGTGTGCTGTTTGGCGGTGAAGGACAGATCATCCATTATCAACTTGCGTCGCCCTGTGTGTCACACAGAGGTATTTGTCTGCTCGTGTACCTTAGAGTACTCGTGTGTGCGATTGCGTGTGCATGAGCGCTTCCGTGGGATTGCACACACACATGCACGCGCACGGGCATGTGTGCGCGCGCTCGGCTTGATGCTGAACCGAGTTGATCTCTTGTGCTTTGCAGCAGCGATCGCTGACGGCCGAACCTGCGCGTGACCGCCCAACATCTCACGAGGCCGGCCATTGGGCCATGCCCGTGGCAGAGACGCACGCTCAGCCGTCGGCACCGAGCCGGCCGCAAGACGGCGGAGGGCGGGAGACGTCGGCCGAGCCGGAGAGCAAGGAGCGGACAAAGGAGTGCAGCGGCAGGGAGAGAGAGGGCAACATGGAACCCCACAACACCTCCACCATCCTGGCTACTGTCAAGGAACAGGTGTGGCCAGGCAACCGTGCGCGGTTTGAACAGGAATGCGCGAGCGTGCGTCCTGGTTGAGGGTTTGACGAGGCATGCGTGACGGTGCGGCTCCGAGTTCCTGGTTTCAAAGTTCAAGTTGACCCTTCGATTAAAAGTGTTTTCATGTCCAGGAGCTCGATGACCTTGGTGCTGTCATTCCGCTGACTGGGCAGAACCCTTTTTAAAAATCAATAATGATGCTGTTATTGACCATGTTCAGCCCTGAGAACTCTTGAGAGCATAAATACAATTTAAACTCGACTTTCCTGTGCAGCTAAAGTAGTTAAAGTAGTGGCGAGGAGCGAACAGGCCCATGACTTGATGAAAAATCAATTGGGTAGCCTAATTGTTTAATTTTATAGTTTGCGTACAAAAAACGTTAACTTTATTTATAACCTGGTCAGAGCCCATTGTGATACAACTCTGTTTTGCAAGGGAGGCTCCACTATTACCGGATTGGGATAATGAAATTGGTAAATCACAACCAGGTAAAAAATAGTCTGCGCAACGTTATCTCTGATTACGCAAAAGTCGGCGAGGCTGTGACAGTGCACCACTGAAATGGACAAACATTAATGTGTATTGCACAACGACATCACCAGCTGCTTACAAGAAAAACAAACGGTGCAATGGTGGAGTGGAAATATTGTGTTCTATTGTGAACCTCGTAAGGTCACAGGAATGCAAGTGCTGGAAACGCAGCCTGTAATCACTCCTGCCTCGTATACGTCATCAACATTTCTCTTGCGTTTGCAGTGACCAAATACACTTCAAGTGCATCCTGCGTGTGGATAATGCGTGGGTGCCCAAACGAACGCTCGTAAATGCTCGCGCACCCTTTGCGCCCACAGCTGGGGACGTCTCCGTTCGTCTCGGTGTGGTAGCAATCTCGGCACTGGAGACGCCTGTGTCGTGTTCAGGATGGAGAGAGGCGGCTGGCGAGAATGTTGCAATCACTTTCGGGTTTCGCAGGACCGTTCAGTAGGTGGTGCTGCTCCTCCACGGGTGTTTATCGAATCCACAGAGTTCACAGCGGGAAAAGAAAATTCACATTTAGCAATGTGAAAACAGAACCAAGGGTTGTCGGTCAAAAGATGCTGCATTAGAGTTTAGCAAATATGCCTCGCCATGAATTCCAAGCAAATGTAGTGTTAAAAGTTTCAACAGTTGTGCAACAGTCAACATAGGCTTGTGAATTATACATGAGCTTTGCAAAAGTACAACTGGCTAAAATTTACATTGAAAACATATATGTATCTAGTGGATGAATCACTCATATATGCAGGGCTTAATGTCAGATGGGGCCTGTCTGCGTAGGTGACCTGGAAAATATTTCTGCATCCGACACACCACATCCAGTATACTTACTCACTATGACCGTGACTACTTGACCTGTGCTTACTCTCGTCTAGCAGTGATCTGGAAAAAATATTCACTGAGAAATGATGGCCCTTCCATTGTCTTGTGTTGGGGAGGTGCAGTAGCTCGAGATGTTGTAAACTTGGCGATCTCAGTTTGACTCCCAGATATGGCTAAAGTCATTGACTGCCCACCCGCTTCACCAACCCGCACTGACCATTGTGATGGGATATGGTAAAACAAACCCCATGATGTGAGGCCTTTATCCTGCCTGCTGTGGATTATTATTCTCATACTTTGTGTGTATTAGAAATGAAAGCCATAGTGATGAATGGCTATTAACGTACGGTAACGTGGATTAGCATTTGACTGCGGATAATTACTGTTACTTTGTAAATGTAAATTATTTGATAAATGCATTTAATGTACTACAGCTCCTGCACTGCTGCTGTAACCACTAATAGACTAACATAAAATGAATGTAGGCTTACAAAGTTAATCATGGATGTAATTAAACTATCAAAAGCAAGGTTTTACTAACACCTGATTTAAAAGGTAATCATTCTTATGAAATGACAAATTAATAATAATTGGCTAACAGTGCTCTATGCTTGAAGGTCTAAAGTGAATTGGTCAAGCTGGAGTAGCTCATTTGAAAAGCGTATTTACTTTCTTTGGAGCTTTGTTGCAAGCTTTTGATTTAAAAATATATGTATATAAATACTACCACATGAGGTGTCTGTAATCGTATTGTACATTGTTAAAACATAATGAGACGGCACACTGAACTATTTGGTGGTGCTGCTGCATTGAGATCCGTGCACGGGCACAACAGACAAAATGTCAACCCTTTTGTAGATAACACAGTAGGCCTTAAAAGTACAAAAATATACTCATGGACATGCTATGAAGAAGGACCTTTGTCCGAAACGTTACCTTTTATATTTTCTTCTTTTAAGGCAGTGTTACTGAAGAATTTGAGTTTCTCTAGTGTGTTTAACTGAGCTTTTGCAATGTTGGCACCATTAACCTTTTTGCACTGAAGTTGGTTCGTTTTTAACAAAAAAGATCGAATGAACTTCAATGGCACAGCGACGACACATTGGAAACGGTTCGCGGCCAATAAGTTGGCGAGCGCTTCAAATCTCGACGTGACGCGTGTCGCCACCGCCATGGCGGCGGCCACGTCGTTTTTAGGGGGATGAGGCTAGTATGATTACAGCCTTCACACTACCAAGTGTGTTCGTAAAGTTTTAGTGGGGGAGAATGGGGCGAAGTGGTCAGCACGCGCTATGCTATTAACCAGGCGACCTGTGTTCGATTTTCGCTCACGACCAATGACTGTGGCGAATATTTGAACCGGTTCCTGGGCCTCGCCTAGGTCGACTCAGCCTTAAATGAGTACCTGGTGCCTGTGTAAAACATCAGCACCGGGGGAGACAAAGGTGGCCGGGCGTGGATCTAGCCACTCCATCCCCTAGTGTGCCGTGCCGATTGCCTTCATAGGTGCTTGCGAACAGCACTTGCCCCTATCAGAGTCTTAGAGGATATACAGGGAATCTTTATATAGCTTTATAATTTTAGCTCAAACTGCTTTCTACAGTAATTATCCATATTTAGTAATACCATTATGGATGCAATGTGGAATGTGAACGCCTTGGAGAAGTTGTATCGAATGTTTGTAGGCTGCAATGCACAACATAACACCCACACTTATAATTTTACAGATAACATTTGTAAGATCGCACCGAGGTTCTTAATATTGTCCGCCGCTCAACATTTTTAGAATTCTGTCGGTGTTTGCGAACTGTGGAGGGATTTCAGCTGCATTCGGTTAGATCTGTGCAGTGCAGTCACGCTTGCTTGAGGAAATTCACACGCGCTCCCACACACACACACTCCCACACACACACACTCCCACACACACACACTCCCACACACACACACTCCCACACACACACACACTCCCACACACACACACTCCCACACACACACACTCCCACACACACACACACTCCCACACACACACACTCCCACACACACACACTCCCACACACACACACACACTCCCACACACACACACACTCCCACACACACACACACTCTCACACCCACACACACGCTCCCACACACACGCTCCCACACGCTCCCACACGCTCCACACACTCACTCCCACACACACACTCCCACACACTCACTCCCACACACACACACTCCCACACACACTCACTCCCACACACACTCACTCCCACACACACACACTCCCACACACACCACACTCCCACACACACACACACTCCCACACACACACACTCCCACACACACACACTCCCCACACACACACACACACTCCCACACACACACACACACACTCCCACACACACACACACACACACTCCCACACACACGCTCCCACACACACGCTCCCACACACACGCTCCCACACACACACACTCCCACACACTCCCACACACACACAAAGATCCCCCGTATAGCCTTAACAGACTGTAGGGGCAAGTGCTGTTAGCGAGCACCTATGAAGGCCGGAACGGTACACGAGGGGGTGGGTGGCCAGCACCACGCCCGACCGCCTTTGTCTCCCCAGTGGCGATGTTTACACACCGCACCAGGTACTCATTTAAGGCTGAGTTGACCTAGGGGAGGCCCAGGACCGGTTCAGATAATCGTCACTGGTGTTAGCCGTGAGCGGGAATCGAACCCGGGTCGCCAGGTTCATAGCGCAGCGCGCTAACCGCTACACCACCGCTCCCCACACACACACACACTCTCACACACCCACACACACACTCCCACACACACGCTACCACACCCACACACTCCCACACACACACACTCCCACAAACTCCCACACACACACTCCCACACACACACACTCCCACACACACTGGCAGACGTCGCTCACTCAAAACCCATCGCGTGCTGCTCCTTTCAAAGTGCGTTTGCACCAACAAAAACATCGCTTTGCACGTGCGCAAGCTCGTACATGTACAGAGAAAAGTTGCATTCCTTGCGTTCTGTATGTACAGGTGTAGACGCTGCATGCGTAACTAAAAGCCTTAAAGGAAGGCTAGAAAAAGTACAGCGCAGCGCCTATAAAACCCGAAATAGCCATAATTAAAACAATACGTGCGGGCCAAATCATATTAAACGCTGTTTGGGTGGCCCCAGCGTTGTGCACGTTTGCCTCTGGGTGTGGAGTCTCTCGTCCCCCCTCTTCTCTGCCCAATGACAATACGCTGCAGGGGCATTGTTGCTGAGCGGGAGTTCACCATCTGCCAATTTGTGCAGATGTGGTGAAACATTGCGTGGCAAGCTAAACGACTGCGAGTTCGTAGATTGCAATGCCTAAATCGTCCATTCGTCAAGGCTCGCTTGGGCTGGACGCCTTTCACCCTGAACCCAGAAGGGTTTTTAGTCCGGAAGAAACCGCCTGGAGTAAATATTTAGCTTCACGATGGTGTTGTTCGTAAAAAAAAAATGTGTAGATGTATTAAACAAGTTACCGTTCATTCAATTGTGTTAGTATGCTCAATAACACATGCATAGGATTGTCCGTGTAAATAATATAATAGGTTGTTTATTGTTTATGCAAATAAGTA